CTCTACATAGTTTTTTCGTTGGACCATAATTACACATTATTTATGGGTACTTAATATTATTGATACATGCCATATGATGCATAAATGGTTCAAATCAAGCCTAATAGATACCTGTCACCTCAAACTATGTTTCATTTCTTGTGTTGTGGGAACATTTGAAATTAGCCTGATTTGATCACTGCATGTGTTCATTAATGTGATACATGTATCAAAAAGGTATCACTTATGGTCCATAATAAATATTATTTGGTCAATTAAAAATAAATAAACTTTTAAACAAAAGAGGTAGAAACCCTTATATAGAATAATATATGCTCTATTGTGTATCGGAATAGATGATCTATCCTTGTGACAGTTCAGTTTCAGAAAAGGATAATTGTACTTCATTCAATGAAGATGCCAGGATGTAATCAAATTTGTTACCAAGGTGGCTAGCTGGCCTCCTCAATGAGTGGGATAGCATTCATTAGTACAGTCAATAATCAGTCATGTTTCATATTCCGCATACATGGCTCATCCGTACTCATATGGTTCTCCTTTGTGTAACTATATTGTAAGCTTATACTGACGGAGGACAGAGACCTGACTAACATATAGTATAAGTCATCCTATTCACTTGGTTTTCAGGATCTCCACTGTGGAGGGCATTGCTATGAAACACAAACATTTGCACACTTTGTGTTACTTCCCATACTCCATCCATTGTCTCCTTCCTTTCTCTGAGTTGCCAATCTTGGCTTCTTCAAAGTCCTCAACACTCAGAGGGAATGCCAGTCGTATAGCCTAAGAAGCCTGGTTTTTCCTATATTCTTACTTTTTGCCTGCTTTCTACCATATAAGTGGACAACCAAGTTTACTGTTTTCATTTTTGCATACTTCAAAAACTCACCCTCATCATTATGATCTAGGGTCAGTCTCTGAGTTGGCTGAATGCAGCAACTATTTATTTTTTGTTTCACATGAATATATTGAGTCAACTCATTGTTAATCAGGACTGATTTTTTTTTTCTTCAGTTACCGGCTTTTGGAAACCCTTAATGAGGCCATAGGTGTAATCTGAGGGAGAGGTGTTGGTGTAGTAGAAGTACATGGTGTGTCTTTTCTACCTGTCTGGACATAGTCAATGGGATTAAATACATCCTTTCCAATGCATCATGAATTGCTGCTGATTTTGACTGCATTTATGACTTGATAGATATGACAATATCCAGCTCATAATGAGAAGCTCTGGTTGTGGCAGCACTTGATTTTCCATGGGCAAGATGCTTAGGGGTTTTGCCCTGAGGAGAATAGGTCCATTCTCAGACACTGAGTGGTTTCATGCAGTAAACGGCATGCATTGTGGTAGGTTAATCTTAGAGATGTGTTTCTATGGAGTCTCCAGTGTTTATTATGCCACATCAGTTTTCCCCGTAATCGAGTATAGCCTGAATGGCAGGTCAACATGAACAGAAGCTTGAATCTATGTTGCTCTTTTTTTTTTTTGTAATTTCAAAAGATTTAGGCGTAAAGGTTTTTCTTTTTATATGGATGGATTGTATCACGCTGAAGTCAGAGCTTTCAGTGTACCTGTCACCAGAGTAGTGTACATTGTACTCAATAAGTAGATTTTTATCCCTCATTCCCTCACACCCTAACTCCTTTAGTTGTCCAATTCATTCACTGCCTTATGATCATATATGTAACCTCTTTTTTCTCCCACTATAGTGCAGAACACTGATGGGTATTTGCTCTTTCCACTCCTGGATATTTCATTAGATAATGGTCTACCATTCTACCAAGTTTTTGCAAAAGACTTAATTTCATTCCTTTAATGCCTGGTGCTACTCCATGTTGAATATACTACACACACGCACACACACAAGCACGCATGCACGCTACTTTCTTTAATCACTTATGAATTTAAATGAGATGTGAGTTGCTAGAGGCACTTCATAGTCCCTTTCACTTTTCTGTTTCCAACTGGCGGCAGGGAACCTGAAAGAGGCCAATCCATGCATAGTAGGTTAGCACCCGGAGCCACTCATTTGACATATTGTTTTATTCTATTTTTTTTTTTTTACTCATGGCTATATTACCATACTTACCTCAGGGTATTAGGAAGGACTTCAAAACTATTTTTAGGGGCTTATTTAGCCTCGCTTCTAAGGGATACCCTACCTAGGAGGAGGGCAAGCAGCGACAGCCTATCTCACGTTAGATGCGGTTTCTTGTTATCAATCCCAGGATGGTATGTAATTCTATTTTAGGTGCAGGGCTTTGGTTAAAACTTCATTGCGGTACCTCCATCAAAGGACGGTCCATGGACTCTTGGAATGTCCAGGGCTCTGGAGTGGTGCTTCTGGTCCTTTGTTGGCAATGAGGGGCCTGCTGGATGTCCTGATGTAGCAGGGGGAAGGCTGCTTGGAGTCATTTCTGTAGCTGTCTGTCCATGGCGTCCATCACCAGCATGACATTCTCTATCTGCTCAGCCTTTCCCTGGACTGAACGACTGTGGCGTTGCTGAGGGCCCAAATTCAAGCACAGTGGCAGTTTACTGTATATTCCCCAGGCCCTGGTTCATCAGCAGGAATTGGTGGCAGCACGGAAGTGGTGTTGCCACTTCTGAACAATCCCTGGTGTTCCTGTGTCTTGTCCAGGGTTCTGCCCCGCCTGGGCCCACTGTGATGATTTCTCAGCAGCCACCTGTCTATGGTTGCCTCACTGCCACCTTCCCCTCCTTCCTGCTGGTTGACGAGCACACAGTCACAGTTGGTGCAGGGGATCGGGGATTCGCGCTTTCAGGGGGAAGGGGCTCCCCTGGGATGGCTTTTGTCCATGCAGTAGTGTCAACCAAATCCCACGTGTCAATATGCCAGACTCCTGTTGGGGATATTTTGGAGGGCTCCTCTCAGCCATCTGAGCCTGGAACTTAGAAAGAACTATTTGTCTTCTGGGAGGCTTACCTGTCACCTGGCATCCTTTCGCACATATTGGGCAATGTTCCTTTCAGGTCGCTTCTTACAAAAATATCTGGGGTGGCTTTTTCACTCCATTCTTTCTGACTGTCTCAAAGGACCTGGCCAGCTGTTGCCACATTCAAGTCCCCTAATCGAATTGCGCAAATTCCCACACCGCTGTGCATTTCCCATCTGGCCCAAATGGACGTTGCTGTGGGAGGAGACCATCAAACCCTGAGTACATACTTTACATGGGTTGAGAGCTCGAAGAGTTAGTGCAGGTGGCACCTTCTGGACCCTCCCACGTTGCCATATGGTGGGGAAGCGTGTTGCTTCCTTCTTTAGCAGCAGCCATGGTGCCTCTGGTCCTCCCTGCGGCTCACCCTGAAGGCTGTGGCCCCACCTGCTGCCCTCGCTCCAGCTGGCTGCAGGTTCTAGCACCGGGTGGGAGGACCTCATTTATCAAAAATCTTATGAACATAGGTTGTTTTGTAACTATAAACAATGAGTTTATCTCAAGCAGAGAGCTTGAGACTCAACATTTTAACTTTGATGTGGAGGTCAACATTTGAACCCTGAATTTTCTGTAAATAATTTGACCTTTTGTAAACACTTGTGCACAATAATTGGACATCCTAGAAACCTGGCATGCCTTGAACTTTATACAAGTACTTAACAAGTAGAGGCACCATAAACCAACTGGGGGTGCCTGAATGCGGGGGTTTTTTTCTTCTCCTTATCTTTATTTTTAAGGAATTTAAGAGACAATGAGAAGAGCCTTTAGAATACACCGTCAAATCAAAATTAGGATCAACCACAATTCCTGGGAAAGAACAACAGCTCAGAATAAACTCAAGGACCATCAATCACTACATTTCCTCACTCCCATTTAAGTGGTGCCCAATACAAAAACTCACTAAGCCACGTGGGTACGAAGTTGGTTACAATTTGAAACCACATGCCTTTATAAACAATCAATACTACATGTTATTAAGCAGCACATATTTTCATCTTTTCACAATCTGCTAAAAAAGATAAATGACAGTAGAATGAACAAAACATAAGCACCCAGAGAGAAATTGTAATTAAAATAATCAGAAATCATCAGCATTTTACATGTACTCTGAAGACATTTTCGATGAAGTTCTGAATTAAGGTTTTTTGCTTATGTAAATCATTAGTCCAGACTATTGTTCATCCATTCAATTCATTTTGTCTATGTGAAATAGAGCAAAGAAATCTTCTGTTTTGCTATGGAACCACTAGATATCCTGCCTCTCAAAGTGCAGACAATCTCAAATCCTTGGTTCTTTCTTAAAGGATGTCCAATTCCAGTTGTACTTCACTTTGTGGAATAGATGACTTTCTGCTGTCTATAAATGTAGCTCTGTAAATTGCATCTTATTTTCCTATTGCCTTTCATTACATTTTAGAGAATCATCCTTGAGAGAATGAATGGCTGCTGATTAAAATAAAATGTACTGTCAAACAAACAATGTGATCACATATTTTAAAGAAGATCATGAGAGATTTTAGGACAACACTCAAATATTTCATACAGGAAAAATACTGAAATAACATATGACACCTGTCACTTGATGACCCTTTACATTTAGTTTCTATCTTAACTCCATTCTGGGCAAACAATAGCCACTAAATTCCTACTTCTTATTATGGGAACTATTTGACCTACCATTTAATATCCAGCTAAAGCTATTAGTTTGTTTCTTTAAAGTTTTTAGAGTAAAAATGTGTGTTATTCTTTGGAATTAGAGTGATAATATCACACTTGCAAAGTTAGACTTTTTTTCAAATAGAAATCTTCCCTTTTAGTCAGTGGAAGAGAATTGCTTAAACAAGTTAATCTTGAAACAAGTATGCGACCTATGTTACATCTTTATATAGTGTTCTAATTCTGAAATAAAAAACAGATTTATGCTGGCTTTTAGAAACTGAGTTAAATGTGGGGGGCCCAATTTTCTTAAGACAATTTTATTTCTTAAACAAGACTAACTCATCATGTAGTAAGTGATATTTAAGGTATAATGGGATTTATTTTAACAGTTCTGTAACCAAAATTACTGAATTCTCTACAAAATTTTCTTGCTCATGTCTTATTAAAGTAGGTTGTGATGGAACTTGGTTCACCATGAATTCTAATTTATGTTTTATGAACAGCTCTTTCTGTCCCCAAAACTTTCTGCAAGGCAGCCTTCATCTCCTTGTTTCTCAGGCTATAAATTAGAGGATTACAGAGGGGTGTTATCACAGTATAAAATAAGGTCACAATTTTTTGCACTTCCACTGGGTGTCCTGATCTGGGGCTCACATACATCACCATAATAGAGCCGTAAAACAGGAACACCACAGTCAGATGAGAAGCACAAGTGGAGAAAGCCTTTCGTTTGCCAGCCTCTGAGGGCATCCGTAGTACAGCCAGCATCACCAGAGCGTAGGAACAGAGGATGAAGAGAAAGGTGCCAATCATGAAGATAATGTTAAAAGCGGAGTAAACAAGCTGGGTGGTGGTGTCTTCAGAACAGGACAGCATCATTAATGGAACAGGGTCACACACGAAATGGTCGATGATATTTGGGCCACAGTAGGGCAACTGTGAAATGAGAACCACTGGAGTTACGAAGGTAATGAACCCACCTGACCATCCAAAGATGACCAGGCCGGTGCACAGCTGTCTGGTCATGATGCGTGGATAATGCAGAGGGCGGCAGATGGCAAGGCATCTGTCAAAGGCCATGATGCAAAGGTAGAAGCCCTCATCACACCCAAAGGAGAAGAAGAAGTAGAACTGTGCAAAACAACTCACGAATGAGATGGACTTGCTTGTGGAGAGGAAGTTGGCCAACATTTTAGGAACGGTTGTGGTGACATAACATATTTCCAGGAGAGAAAAATTTCCCAAAAGGATGTACATGGGAGTGTGAAGGCGCCGGTCCCACCGCACAGCACAGGCGATGGCTGCGTTCCCCATGAGGGTGAGAGTGTAGGCTACCGAGAAGAGCCCGAAGTAGAGCAGCTGCATTTTGGGGCTTGCGGGAAAGCCCACAAGAATAAAGTGACTAACGGAGTTGGGAGTTTCTCTGCTGGACACGTTCATTAGTGTGGAAGATGTGGAGCTGACACTGCTTATTGAAGTTACATGGAGAATGTTGGTTTTCCCTGAAAGCAACAAATTTCTTTACCATTTTTAAAATAAAGTATTAACCAATAAGGTTTCTGTTAAAAGTAATAATATAAAAATACAGTTAGATAGAAGGAATAAGTTCTAGTATTTTATAGTATGGTAGGGAAATTATAGTTAACAATAATTTATTGTATATTTCAAAATAGCTAGAAGACAAGAATTGTAATGTTCCTAACACAAAGAAAAGGTAAATGTTTGAGGTGATGGATTTACCAGTTATCTTGATTTGATCATTAAACATTGCATACATTTGCCAAAATATCACATGTACCCCTATAATATGTACAACTATGATATATCAATAAAAACATAAAAAAGCAAGAAGATTGTGATATGCATAACCTATTTCCTAAGAGTATGATTTCATATTAGTAAGATGCAAATAATAATACACATAAAAACATGATTTGGAACAAATATTAAACAAGGTTGGGATACTGAATTACACATAAAGAATGTAAATTTTCTAAATTTGGTAAGTCATTTTACTTCTTTGTATATTTCCTCATGTATTTACTGTATAGGGTACAGTACACACAAATCAGTGTATGAGGAGTTCTTTCTAAAGTATCATGTAAAGACAATTTATTCTAGCTTGTAATATTAGTAGTAATATCAAATAAAGGGTTATTCACATTAAGACATTCAAAGGTCTTATATCACAGGGATGCAATAAATGGCAAAGGGGATATTTCTGTTTGTGGTTTCTTATGGTATTGTAAACTAATGATTAAAAGGACTTCATTGAGCCCAAGACACACAGTTTTTAATAGGACCACACCCAACACATATTTGATATACAGGCTGCTGGATTCAGCTCCATGGCAATGGGAAGAGTTTTAACTTTTGTGCCTAAAATTCTCTGGTTGAGAATTTTGATGTACTCCTGTGTGAATGTGAGAACTAGATATGCCCCTTGAGGCAATTGATCTTAGGGAGGGAAACTGCTTTGAGTGACTGGACTGTTTAATATGATTAGGTTTGGACAATTTTGTTGCAAAAAAGCTGTAGACAAAAGTTTCTTATTTGCATGCATAGAGTCTCCATATTACTCTCTTCATTATGTGATTTATATGCTTAGTCTTTTTTCTTTTTAATACTTAACTCTGGTGCTTTTTTATACTTCTCCTATGCATTTTCTAATGAGACAAACTTATTACATGAAATATCTTCTTTCTTCACTCCTGGTGCCTCTCCCAGTTTATTATTAAAATGAAACTTAATTTTATATGTCTTATTCCCTTAGGACCTTACTCTTGGCTATCACATTTGGCATCTAAAGTAGAAGGATTGTTGTTTATATCTTCTCATTGCCTTTGGGACTGTATAGACCATCTGAAGTCTGAATACAGCCTGGTGTTTCATTCTATTTGTTTCCCATATCAATTGCATCATAGCAAGTAGCAATACGTAGCACTACCATAATTTCTCAAATTATCAGAGATTTGTAAAAAGTTGTTTGTTTGTGGGCTTTTTTCTTTGAAGGGAGATCCAGGTAAACATCGATTCTCTATTGATATAATGTGATTGCGTGGTAAGATTAAAACAAAATGCATATTTAGGATTTTTATCCTGAATCATTATATGATTATCTCAGCTGAGGTCATTATATAGTATCTGAGAAAAAATAAATGCCATCTTGTTTGGAGACAGCAAGCTATGATGCCAGGGAATCTTGGTCATTCCCCGACAATACTAGCAATGAAAAATAGAGTGCCTTCAAATTGAAAACATTTAAATAACTTACGTATGTATATTGAGTACAAAATATACATAAGCAAAGAAAAAAGATGAATATTAATATTAAAACAAGAGGCAATTGATGTTATTAATAGTAATTTTCAAAAATATCCTTACCTGGGTATTTTTGAATAATTCATTAGGCTAGGGGAGCATCATGAGTTATTTTTCCACATTCTTTAATTTTTTAAAAAAAAGTTTATTTAACTTTAGGTAATGATTTTAATTTAATCTCATTAAAATTTTTTTATTGACACATAATATATGTGCATTTTTTGAGGTACATGTGATAATTTAATAAATTCATATAATGTATAAAGCTCAAATTAGAGTACTTGGGATGACAACAAATATTTATCTTTTCTTTATGCTAGGAACTTTTGAATTTTTCTCTTCTAGCTATGTTGAAATACACAATAGATTATTAACTATAGTCACCCTACTAATCTGTCGAACACTAGGTCTTATTTCTTCTATCTTCATTCTTTTATTGAAGAAAACATTTACTTAGCTCTCACACAGGTCCTAATGGTTATCCAATTTCTTTATAACTCATTTGACTAAATTTTTAAAACTCATTTTATTAGCACCACGCTCTAACCAACTGAGCTAACCGGCCGCCTGCAAAACTCATTTTATTTATGTCCTTTATTCTGTCATCTGTGTTGTAATCCCTCAGAATCCTACTTTCAGCTATCTTAGTTATTTTCACTGACAGACCGAACTTAACAGTGGTATATCAAATCATAACAATACTCACCCTGCATGGGTCTTCTGTTTTAATATTTCTTTTGCATAAAGTCACTATCCAAAGGATATCCTATAAATGCAACAAATAAAAAGTGTACATGTACTGACTGGGTTTGTCATTTAAGGAAGCATTATTTCACATAAATCCAGAGCATATTAAACTAATGAAACTGATATAAATAATATGGGTTAAGGTTATAAGATATCAGAGTTGAATCAGAGATATCCCATGCTTTCTCTCCTGAACAATCAACAAATTCATTATAGTGTTATAACAATTCTACCTCTGGAAATTTATCAGTTGCATATTTTCACATGAAATCTCTAGGCTTCTTTGTAAACAATAGTCATTAATATTTTAAAGGATAAGGAAACTAGTATATCTAGTGTTTCCCAAGACTCAGGGAAATAAGAAGGAAATTAATATTTTCAAGCTTCTTTATGAATTTTATTCAAATCAAATATTCATATTTTCAGAACGAGAAGAAAGCTCTTGCCAGTCAATACCATTTATGCAGAACACTTGGCACTTATTGCAACATGGTATACAAAGTTTTAACTCACTTTCTGCTATGTGTTTAGAAGAAAGATCAGAGAAGGGAAATAAAATATTGCCCCACAGGGTAGAAAGCATGTGAGGGGCTTCTGAAGAATTGGACGATCCAGTCTGCTACCTGCCATGAGTTCCAAAGAATGAATTTTAAAAGATTGTATTCTCCCTAGCTTCAAAGCTCATATTTATGGTCAAGATAAGAGCCCAGATGAAGGTATTGTTTAATTATTCCTGTCATAGCCTTTGGGATTTGAAACTCTCTCCCATGATATTTTTAAAGTCTTTGTTTAACAGATGAGATAGCTTTTGAATTTTGTATATTTTCAATGAAATCCCAAGCCCTGCCATTCTCTGAAGAGTAGTTCACTAAGTTTTTACCTTCCCTTATGCTTTAGATAACTATGCATTGCAATATGTTCCTGGGGAATAATTAAGTAGTACTAGAGCTTGTTGTAATAGCTACAATAAGAGCTACCATTAGATTCCTTATTCTTATTTTGTAGAAAGAAAACATTCTTTGCTCACCGATATTAGTTCTTAAATTTATTTAGAGAGATTTCAGTTGCATTATGGTAGCCATTAGAAAAACGGCATTTTTAAAAAAAAGTCCAAATATACAAAGATAGAAAATAAAACAGTGGTTACCAGGGAATAGGTGGGAGGCAAGGAAATGGGAGATGTAGGTCAAAGGATACAAAGAGGCAAATACCTAGGATAAACACCTCTAGAGATGAAATGTACAATATGAGGACTATAACTAATAAAACATAATATTGTATTAGAGAGTTTTGTTAAATTAGTAGATTTCAGCTGCTTTTGTCACAAAAAGAAACTGTGTGACATCATATATATATTTATTTGTTTTGCTATAGCAACCATTTATTATCTGTATGTATCCCATAGTGTCATGCTGTAAAGCAGGTTGTTTAATTTCCATGACTTTGTGTAGACTTGAGTGTTTCTCTTGGAATTGATTTCTAGTTTTATTCCACTGTGGTCTTACAAGATACATAGTACAATTTCTATTTTTTTGAATGTGTTGAGACATGTTTTGTGGCCTAAGATATGATCAATCGTGGAGAATGTTTTGTGTGCTGATGAGAGGAATGTATATTTAGTAGTTTTTGGGTAAAATGTTCTGTCAATGTCTGTTAGACCCATTTGTTCTAGATTCCCATTTAAGTCCTGTGTTTCTTTATTTATTTCCTGCTTGGATGATCTTGCTTTCAAGTTCTGTCAGTGGGGTGTTGAAATCTAATCTCTGAGACAGTAGGTGGTGCTTGGAGGTAATAATCTATCACCCTGTATGATTGAGTCAGTAAATGCTGTAAAGGGCTGTGCAAATTGACCTCCCTGGTACTTGCTGGAAGGAACAAGCTGTTCCTTCAATAAACAAATATTGTTTTGGGGACCTGCGACTGGCTCTAGCTCCTCAGGAGAAGCACTCAAATGCTCCACGTGGTGGGTGGGGCCCTGGAAGTTCCAGGTGAGTCCTTTATTCTCTACCACAGCTGAGGCAGTGGGGGAATGAGGCTGGGCAGGGCTGCATTGGGTGGGTCTGCCCTCAAGCTCCACTGGTAAGTAGCAGTTTTGGTGGGGGTCAAAGGTCCACTCCCATGCTTCTGGAGAAAGATGCTAGTGAGGGTCCAAAGTGGCCCCACCTAGCCAGAACACCTGCTTTTGGGGGCATGGCTGTTGGAGATTCACAATCTGGCTGTTGGAAGCAGGTTTTACTCTTCTTGCCCTTCCCTGCTCTGCAGTATCCCTTTGGCATCTGCCAGCAGGCAGGAGCTCAAACTACCTGACCTCCCCAATAATGGCACTATGGGCTGGGAGCTTCCCTGTCCAGGATTCTGCCCTGGGCTGACAGCATGGACTTCCTGTGTGGATAGGATTGCTCCATGAATGTGCTGTGGCTGGGACCCACACTGCATTTTCTTTTCAGTTCTGTCCATGCACCTCCCAAGATTCACTAACCTCCCCACTCTTCCCCCTAGCAACACAATTGAGTCCTAGGGGCATGGGATCTGGCTTGCAGGTCTGTCCCTGGGTCCCTGAAGATCAATCCCTGACTATGCTAGGGAGAAGTGTGCTGGTCCCGATTTGCTTATGGATTGCCCAAGCAGGTTTGATGTCCCACTTTGTGGAGTGCCCTGCTCTAATGGAGCAGCTGGGCAAGCAGCACCAGGGAGGGCCAGTGAACAGGGAGCTCACACTCTGAGCAGCCCTTTGTCCTCTGCAGGTTAAGAGGAAAGGTTTGAGACCCACTCTCTATGGAATTCCCAACAGAGGGGAAGCAGCAGCTCAAGTGTCTCTCTTGGCAGCCATGGATAGGGGAGGGGATGAGGAAGAAAAGAGTCTGAATGGAGGAAAGCTATCATCCTGGTCATCTCTTTTCCTCTGTCCAGAAGGCAGCCTGCCCAGAATTTTATAGGCTCTGGAGACATGCAGATCCTCCTGGACCCACTGGCCTCCTGTGGCTCCTACTGGGCCAGAGTTGGGAAATGTTTGTGTGAGAACGAGCAAGACAGTAACTGAGGGGCTGAAGCCCCATGGGGAGGACAAAGGTGTATGGTGGGTGGAGAGGTAATATGGCACCTGAGGTCTTGCCCCGGGTCTGCAGTTATGGGAAACACCCTAAGGGGGCTGACAGCTCCCCATTCAAGAAGCTCCCCATTCACTGGTGAAAGCAGCTTTGGGGCTTATGAGGGTAGAAAGCAGCTGCTCGGGAGCCTGCTGACTGCCAGAGATGTGAGGGAAGGAGAAACAAGACTCTTGGGGGTTGATCTCTGTCTATATCTTTGATCTCTGTCCATATCTTTCTCCCTTCTTGTTTCGCTCTGCAACTTCTTCCCATGGAATCTTGGGTAGGTTCTGGCACTTTTCCCTTGGAATTATACCTGATTTGTGATTGTTTTTTCTTTTTCCTCTAAAAACTTTCCTTCTTTCTGAGACGATCTGACAGCTTGTGTCTCTAGGCAGCCATCTTGTCTCTCTCCCCTCAGACTTGTATTCTTTATTGACAATTTTTCATTTTTGGCATTATCTTGCTGTTTCAAAATTCTGTTTCTAAAATTGCATGCCTAATACTCCTCCCACCCAACATCCCCCTCAACCCACTTGGGTCTGTCATTCCTCTTTAGGTTGCCACAGGTCTATTCTGCACCATGAACTCTCACCTCCCTCTGTCAGATCTAATGTTTGGCTTTTTTGTGAGACAGAGTCTCACTCTGTTGCCTAGGCTAGAGTGAGTGCCGTGGTGTCAGCCTAGCTCACAGCAACCTCAAACTCCTGGGCTCAAGCAACCCTTTGCCTCAGCCCCCCGAGTAGCTGGGACTACAGGCATGCGCCACCATGCACGGCTAATTTTTTTCTAGATATATTTTTAGTTGGGCAATTAATTTCTTTCTATTTTTAGTAGAGACGGGGTGGGGGAGGGGTCTCGCTCTTGCTCAGGTTGGCTTCTAACTCCTGACCTTGAGCGATCCTCCTGCCTCTGCCTCCCAGAGTGCTAGGATTACAGGCATGAGCCACCACGCCCGGCCAGATCTAATGGTTTTATGGATGAATTATTCAGAAAGAGAGAAAAGAAGAAAAAGAAAAAGAAAGCAGAAGAGGAAAAGAGCTTTCTTTCTTTGAGCAAGAGTGAATGTTAGAGTTACACTTTCAGGTTGTTACACCCAAAAACCTCATGTATGATTATAAATGACATGATTGTGGGCTAATTACTGATGCTATAATGGGATGAGCCTTTGGAGACAAAGTTGAACATAATTTACACATAGGAGGAAAGTGGTTGGTCATGATCAGAGAGTGGACTGTGATGGGTCATGTTTCCCATGATGGCTCCCAAAATATCTCCATCCTACATGCTCTTTTGTAATGTGACCTTGCCATTTTCCCATAAAGAGTTGGTATCTACTTCTCCTCCTCTTGAATATGGTCTGATCCAGTGACCTTTATCAATCTACAGAATGTGATGGAAGTGATGCTGTGTAACCTCCAAGTTTGGGCCTTATGAAATCTTTAGTTTCCACCATGGCCTCCAGGAACATGTGGAGTAGAATCAATTTGTTCCAGTTGAAAACAGCAGAACTTTCAGCCAACATGTAGCACCAAGTGGTAGTTGTTTAAAATGATCTTTCTTCGCTATTGATGGTATAACCATGCTTCCAGATGACTATAGATTGAGCCAACATCATGTAGGACAAAAGAGTTTCTCAACTGTGTCCAGAAAATTCAGGGACTCATGAGAAATAATAAATGGTTTGGTTGTTCTAAGACTCAGGGGTCCTCAAATTATGGCCTGTGGGCCACATGCGGGCTGCTGAGGACATTTATCCAGCCCACCAGCTGTTTTTTGCCACCGCTGCCTGTCCTGCTTAGCAGTCGACTGGTCCCGGGCCCACAGTGTGCATGTGTGGATGTGTGCTGCACTCTCCAATGGCCCTCCAATGGTCTGAGTGACAGTGAACTGGCTCCCTGTTTAAAAAGTTTGAGGACCCCTGTAAGTCATTAATCTCTGTGTGGTTAATATTATAGTCGTAGACAACCAAAACAGATTGGGATGTTGAAATTTAAAATGGGGATATCCGGACTTAGATGAAACTGAGAATCTTGAATTTCTGTCATTCAACTTTCCTTACCATGGAATGAAATGGGATCCCATAAATGAGGATATTATATTTTCTTCATATCCTGATTTAAAGAACCAATTCTCTCTCTTTGTGAACCAATCTGATAATTTCTCCTTTTTCTAAGGACATCACCATGAGGAACCACTATGTTTCTGCCGTAGAACATTGTATTTTCCACCTAACAATACAAGTTCAATTTTCCTTTTTCAAGTAGAAAGAATTTAAAATCTTAGTTTCAATTTTTCAACTATGATTCAACCAAAAACCATTGAATTCTGTAATCATGTCATCTGAAAAATATCAGTAAACAAAGAGGTGCTGGCTAAAATTACTCTGATGGACTTTCAAACAAATATTTCCTGGGCATGTTTTTTGAGGGCCAAGCAAACAAGTATGTGACTTTTGTAAAAGAATGATATATTATCACATATACTTTTTTATAATCTAAAATGTGTTTATAGAAAAAATAATAAAAGTCATAGCTCTTTTTTGTGGTAGTATTTACAACAAAGTGAACTTTTAATCAGGACAGCGAAGAGACTTCCACATGTGTATAATTAACATTTTTAAGACAATCTTAGTGTCCAAGATTTGGATTCCTGGTGCTGCATTGACACAGGTTGGTCCTCACACAAATCCTCTTTAGCTGTTACACAAAAAGGAGCAGAGTGCCAGGAAACTCTCCCTTCCTTTTGTTATGCATCCCTTTCTGGGCACATCTTGTTCCTGGAGGCCACCCCTCAGGAGCAGCAAGGACAATCACAGTGTAGCATTCAATCCCACAGCATGTTTTACTTTCAGTGATGAACTTAATCCATCTGTCAGACTATCACCTGGAAATGGTCCCTCTGTTTTGCTGCTTACCTGGCCCCTCCAGGCTGGCTCTGGATTTTAAAAACCAGCCACATAATGGATGTCACCAGGTGTTTCACGGGACCCTGAAACTCCCCTTCCCCAATATGTGCTTGTTCAAGTGACAGTAAAATTGACTTTAACAAATCCCAAATACTGAATTGCTTACCAATCATTCACTAACAGTAACCTCTCTGCCTTCTCTTATTCTTCAGATGTGATAGTTTAAAAATTGGTCCATTTGACTATACTTATAGGACACCCAGTAAGGGGAACCATGCTCGCTGGAATGGTCCAGTGACCTTCACAATTCAGTGTGTATGAGAATCAGCTGGGGACAGGGCATGGTGGCTCACACCTGTAATCCCAGTGTTTTGGGAAGCTGAAGAGGGGTTATCTCATGAGGCATTGGAGACCAGCCTGGGCAACATAGTGTCAACTGGTCTCTATAAAACATAAGAAAATTAGCCAGACGCGGTGCCTTATGCTGGCAGGGGAGGCTGAGGTAGGAGGATAGTTTGAGCCCAGGAGTTCCAGCTCAGGCAACAGGGTAAGACACTGTCTCTTTACAAAAAACAAAAAGCAAGACAAAAAACAATAAAAATATTTGAGAAATCATCTAGCATATTATTTAGCATTGAAGTTTCTGAGCCTTCCCCATAAGTTTATTCCAAACCAGGCTTTCTGCCAGCAGATTTTACATGAAAAATATGTGGGAGGCATTATCCTTTTCAAATAATAAAACAGAAATTCACAGAGGTTAAGATTATATTAGCTTAAATCCCATTTGATGTATCTTTCAAGAAATTTAGACAACTCCAGTAAAAATTATATCTAATCTGAATACAGCTTTGTAGCTGTTATTAAATGTTTATGTTTTGTCTTCACTAAGGTCAACAATATGTCATTTTTTGGAGAGTTTGTTTCTTAATTAATCTTGTCAGTAAAGTACTCTACTTAAGAAACAGCCTGATTTAATGAACAAGTATTTGAACTTTAGACTCTGGAGAGACAAAATTAATTAATCTTTGACCTCACAGTGCATCAAGCCACTCTAGTAGGACAAAAATCCTGGGAAATCTTTCTCAGCAAAAATCCCACCCAATGGCTGATCTTCAGGTCCTTTTAATATTTAGCTAATTAAGTAAATATGCTGTCAGTCTATGCTGATAGTGATGAGCAGGCTTGGGTGAGTTGATTTCTATCGGGAGGAGGGAGGAAGATGTGTTTCTGAACTTTCCTTCTTCAGTTAGGCACTCTGTGATTCCTTCCTTTCCTTTTTCTCTTCTCTAAGCCCTGTGCATGTGGGCTCAGAGCCACAAGGTGGCAGGATAATCCTCATCATCTCATTCAAACTGACTGAGGCTCTGGGCTGTGAAGTGCTCACTCAATCTGCCCATGGACCACACACTGATGCTTGCAAGCAATTTAAACAAATATTATCTAGAGTCGCATTACCTAGATTTCTATGTTACTTCTTTCAACCACCCCCACTCCTATTTTCCTTTCAGTTCTAACTCAAGGACACTCCAAGTCTACATTTTGCAGGAGCCCCTGGAGTATTTGAGGTCTTATACTGCACCTCAAAACTATTTTGGACTCAAATCAATGATCTTTTACAGAAAATACCTGTTTATTTTCGGCTATTTTCATGGTTATCTTGCTTCCTTCAGATTAACTTCTTGATATTACAACAGTGTGTGTGCTTCGAAATCAGTTCCAATTCTTTTACTTTAAGACTAAGATGTAAAGTAGCTCAGAAACCATTCTTCTGTGATACCATATCTTTCCAAGAGGATGTTCGAAAGTCATCGATTCTGAAAAAGTAGTTTTCCCCAAAAGCTTCAACGCATTTCTCCCCTATAAGTTTAGATATTGTATGTTTTTACTATTATTCTTCACCTTTTCCTGCATTTTTCTTTCTTCTTTCTCACCTCCATCTCTGTGATCTCGCCTAAGAATTGTTGGCATGGTAACGGAGGCTCTGTGACATCTCCAGCAAGCTCATTGTCTTCTCCTCAGTAACTTCAGGAGGTAGCTGGTCTCAGAGGGTAACAGTCTGGGAAGGCTTGTACTATGAGGCCTGAATGTGCCAGGGTAACCCCACGCTCGTCCATTGCCAGGTAAGGCAAAATGATTTGGTGTAGTGGCAAGCAAACAAAGAAACAAACACAACACATCCTTTTTTGGGGCCAAGAACCACTAGGTAGATAAGCTAAGAGCTCCTGAGGGAGACTAGGTCCTGAGTGGGTTTCTGGATTTGACCACTGGACAGAAACTAGCACTCAAAACAGTTGGGATGAACTGGCCCACATGTAGTGGACCCGAGGCCCCCAGATCCTGTTTTTAGGCATAAACAGGTTTGGAAGCATCCAGGCTTGGTGGTGGGTCCCTCTGTGAGCAGCACAGTTCAGGACACCTGCACTTCTCTCCTCTGCCTTCCCTGGTAACGTGTGTGGCTCTTAGTCTTTCGTGTTCCCTTCCATAAGTTGGAGGAGGAAGTGAAGAGACTCACTGCACATACCCTGTCATTTAATACTGATATGAGAGCAGTAACTTATAGTCTTTGGAGTTAGGTTTAATTTTTACCACTCTCCTGCTGTTTTCTCTCAATATATTGTACCAAATTGTAACTAATTTGCTAGAGAATGAATTGAAGGCATACAGATTTGAGACTTTTTAGAGAGTTTCACAGACTTTGGAGTAACATTTTGTACCTTAGTTCTTCTCAATTCAGAGTATTGAGTCCTTAAATACATATATGCTTAGCAGGTAAAATTTTGATACATTAAGGTAATTGCTTAGGCTTAGTGGATGGGGGCAGGCCTCTTCAACAGCTATCCTTGTGAGTTTTATGCTGAGCAACTCTTGAGTCCCATCCTCCGACCACAGCTCTCTGCATTCTCAGCTCCCTCCTGCTCCTTCCATGTGTGGTCTTCAGAGCCATCATGTGATTGTTTTCCTTTTTGAGATCTCTCTTAAGGTTAATTTCCTTTAAGCATTTACTTTTCATATTATAGAAGTATAATGACTATTTTGGAAAGATGTGGGAAAATATATCAACAATGAGAATATAATGATATAACTTTAACATTTGAGGTTTTCCCTTTCATGTATACTTACAAATATAGTTGGACTCATATTTGTATTTAAATATAAGATTTACATACATGTTTATATTATTTATATTTTAATGTTAAGAACTGATTAATTAATTCAACAATAATAACTGATTGTCAATGTTTCAGGCACTGTGCACAAAATGGATAAAAATCCTTGACTTGTGAATTTTATATGCCAATGGGGGAGTATAGCATCCCTGAATTTTGCTGTTGGCAAGTGTCCTCAAACCATTCCCTCTACAGATATTGAGGGACAACTGTACAATACATTATTATTAACTATAGTCACCATGCTGTACAATAGATTTCTAGAACGTATTCACCCTAACTAAAGATTTGTATCCTTTGCCCAGCATTTCCCTATTCCCTTGTGGGTACAACTTTAAATAGGATTGTCAATAAAGGCTTCACCGAAAAGGTGACAGTGAAGCAAAGACTTGAATGAAGTGTGGGGGGCAAGAACTATGAATATCTGAGGAGAGAGAGTTCCAGGCAGAGGAGACAGCATGTATAAATGCCACAAAGCACGAGTGCTCCTGGCATGTTTAAGAAACAGCGGATACTTTTCTAATTCGTAAGCATGATGGTTGGCGTTTCATGCTCATGAGTGAGCTATGCCTTGTCAAACTTTGTCATGACATTGGCACATTACCAGTCTGACGTGAACTTAGCAGGCTTCTATTAATAAAAGGGAGTGAGTGTTGGAAGGTAACATTATCAAGTATAGCAATTATTTGGAGCCCACACAATGACCATTTTATTTAAATAGCCTGAAAAGGTGGTTATATGCAGATATAAGGGGAACTACAGTCTTCTCTGATTTGAGAAGGACCCATTACACCCCTGCCTGTAAAGGAAAGTATGTAGCCAACATATTCTGAGCCGTGGCTATTATGTCTTGGGCAGCCCGCCTTGGAGGGGTGATCCAGGGCATGCCCTGTGTGTACTCAGGCCTTCCTGATGGGTTCTAGTCCCCCCAGACATTTTTAAATAGTTGTGCCAAAGTTTGTTTTTGACCCTTCTGGATTACCCAACTTATCCCAGTGGCTTTATTTAGGGATAACAGTGATAAAGTTTTGGCCAGGTCTCAAAAAGTATTTCTTTAACTGAGATCTAAATTGGTTAAGCCTTGGGAAAAAGGGAAACATGATGAGGCCTGGGACTAATCTGAAGATTGGCCTTAAGCCTTGGATCAGAATGTCAAATATAACCGGAAGCATAGGCATATGTTTTTATAGTAATGCAGCTATGTTTTCTCACAAAAAAGATGATATTGAATTTAGGAGTGAAAATATAAGAGCAAGGGGTTCTATGAAGCTGAAGGATATAAAGACAGAGATTAATTATTGCATAGAATTGACAAAACACTTCAAAGGCTTATCCATCGGTTCTCTTCTTTCCATAATTCTGCACATATGCCAGCCCCAAGTATGCTGTGGTTATGTTAGGATTTTTGGATCAGTAACAACTTCTGTATTAGAACCTAACTGTAAATGATTCCCCACTTGTTTTGTGAATTTGTCATTTGAATCTCACTTCAGCCAGAGAAAAGTAAATTACTTAATTAAACATTATAATTGCCACAACTAATAATGGGATTTTTAGAATGTATAAATGGAGGCAACAGTCTAAAACAGGGAGGGGATAACCCTGTCTAATTCTATGTAGATCAGATGTAGAGCCCTACGTGCAGTCTGTGTCTCAAAATTTAGGAAGTACATGGTCAAACTGCAATGAATTTGGAGAAAAGCAACTTAGAGCGGAATTGAAAGTATGGAAAATTAGTAATAGTGGAAGGAACTGGGATATATAAAATGGAGAACAAAATACTTTATTGGGACAAGTGAAAGGTGATCATTTAACACAGTAATTAATTTTGCCCCATTTAATTTCTAAAGTACAGAATTAGAAACAGTAGGTAAAAGTTATAGGGAGACATATTTGAATTCAATATGGAGACTTACTTTCTAACAAAGAAACCTGTTTGATGATGGGACATGCTGCTTTGGAAGACAACTTTCTATCATGGATTTTGTCAGACGTAAATTGGGCAAGTAGTAGAGGGGATTCAAACGTCAGATGCCAATTTCTTTCAATCAGAAATTCCATGATATGCGTCCAAGATATGTCAAGAAAAAAAGAAAATCATCCAGGTAAACTCAATGACACAAAGAAGTATAATGGAATATATTAAGGTTAATGGGAACTTGAGGTTTTCATTAACATTGATAAAAATGAATAATATTTTCTAAGGATCACTAGCTGACAGCAGAAAAAGGGGGAGGAAAAAGAAATGCTGGACCTGTGGTCAATTATTTACGCCATGGGACTGCAAGTAGTTCTACTACTTGCTATAAAGTTCTACGACTTGCTATTAAGTTCTACTACTTGATATAATTGCTATTTTTTCATGAAAAGATCTGTGTGGAAATCTACTTTCTGAGTCAAAATTAGAGTGACTTCTTAGTTTGGCCAAGGAAGTTTCTGTAAGAATGGTAGAGGGATTCAAGGAATTTGGGGGCCAATTAAGGAAAAAGATATAACACTGAGGTAGCAGAGAATACACAGTTTTGGGGGGAAGCTATTTAGCAAACAGGGGCAGTTTGCATGCAGGGTCAGTCCATTATAGCATGAGATCTTCCAGAGGCTAGGGCAGGGGGCCACTACCCAGAAGGAGAGGAGGGCTGGGAACTCCCAGGGGAGAAGGGGATAAGAGAGAGACTTGCTTATCTAGGTGACGCTGTCTAGAAGCCCAGTGAAGACTCTGAGTCAAAGAGCTCTGAATTACAGCCCCAATTGGGGTCTTTATAGCCCCAGAGTTTACCTTATGTATGGCTAGCAAATTTTGGGCACAGTATGCAAAGCAAGTAGGCTGTAAATGGCTAAAAATCTGCTTATTTGGACTATGTATAAAGCAATTAGATATATAAAAATTTTGGCACTGATGGGTTTTTGAGCTAACAGAATTCAGCTTGCTGTGAAGAACTAAACAAGCTGGGGCCAATATAAGCTAATGATCTTTGGGCTGTTTGTCTAACACATGGTCCCTGAAATAGATACAGTTTGTGGGTTTGTTTTTTGTTACCTTTTTTTCTCCAGTGTTTTCCAGATTTCAGCACTCATACTTTCTCCCAAGCTCACATTTCTCCCAAGCTCTCAACAGAAAGTAGAGAATTAAACTAGTTTACACTAAGATGTTCATTTTTGAAAGAGGATTTATTTCATTTTTATTATTATGAAAATGATACATGCTTATTTTAGGAAAAAAGTGAATAATATAGGAAAGTATAAGAAGTTTAAATCATCCACAATCCACAGGACAATTTCTAGAACCATTTCTAGTTTTCTCTTTCTCTATATTTCATACATTAGATGCATGTGCAATTATTTTCAAAATTGGAATCATAGTACATGAAGTTGGTAAATGCTTTTGTTTACTATCATATCATGAGTTTTTTCCCATACCACAAAATATCCTTTGAAGCATGATTCTTAATGAGTGCATGATTCTTGAAGAATCATGAAGCATGATTCTTAATGAGTCCATTTTTATCAATGTACTTTATCCTTCTGTTTGGGGATACTTT